ATATACGTTTGCTTCATCGACAATCCCACCAAAGAATATGATATGGCAAAAAGACCTGGCCTTCCTTGAAAATTCAGACTTGCCCTGTGACCCAAAAGGCGTTCGTGGCAGTGTAGCCGAGTGGTTAGTGTGTCAAGCTCCCATCCTGCACTGTCGCGGTTCGATTCCCGCTGAGGGTATTGATAAGACCGATGCGAGGTTGAAGCTGCAGTCCACCCTGGATGAGAATAACTTTTGGGAAAGCAAGGCTATGTGAAATTCATTGTGGGAAAATTCTTTTTCTACCAGTCCTTAAACGAAATTGGATAAATACATCTTTATAATTATGCTGCAAAGCCACATTTACTTTTTTAAAGTGGTCTGACCTCGTTTTTACAACTTGGCACCTTCCCAAGTTCACGGCCCGACACTGGGAATTATGATATTTAATATAGCAGAGAACTTCGGGCAAGATGCATCCAACTAAGTCCCCCTGACAACACAACCAAGTTGCGAAGACGAGGTCAGACAACTTCCATACATTGAAAGAAAACGGCGATTAAATTAGCGGCCACATCTTGGTCTTTATATCTTGCTGTTTTAAGGCCTGTGACGGGTATAAGGGCTAGATGAACTTGTTGAAGATCGTCAAAATGAAGTTAACTTCCTTCAGACATTTCTTTTGATTTAATATTAAAATAAATATGATTTACTAAGTTTTCGGGGCTTAAGGATAAATTCGTTGCCAAGACTTAGAGTTCAGACCAAAATATAATTTGGTGACAAAATATTAATTAAATATCTTGCAAGACAAACAAATGTAAGTAAATTAAATTAACAAGGAAAGTGCCACAAATGTATACGAGTACTATGCAAATCTAAGTCAAACTCACTTGAGGCTAAATTGGCTTCCTCTGACTCATCAAGAGAATGTATCGAACTTGTGCGCCCCCTATGTATCCTGCTGTTTGATAAAACGAAATCATCAACACTATGCAACGTGGTCACCTCATCAGCAGTGCCACTTGAGAGGGCAGAAGATACTGTAGCGATGGAGACACTGGCTGGACCAGTAAGTTGCAAGAGAGCATTGGCGCTTGCACCACCTAGAGTCTCTTTTAAAACATCACCAGGACGATTACGAGTCCAAAACTTACTGTAAATAAAAGATATTAGGAAAAAATCAAGCATTGAAATATTAAAACTATTGAAACTTTAGAAGCATGCTATTGAGCGTGCCAATCAGAAAGTACAAGGTATAGATACTAATAGTAATAAAAAAGATAAAGTTTACTCCATAAATCAATTTCCTCAGCCGCTATGAGTTCAACATGACCAAGAACAAGAGAAAAGATAGAAGCTAGCTAGATTGAATCGATAATGCACACTTCAATATTAGTATAATATACTTAGTTATATTCATGAATATAGATATAAAAAATAAGAATTTCAGTTAAACTAAGACCTCGCTTGAGATTATCTTAATTATCTTTAATATAAAATCTTTTGCGAGTTCCCGAACCTGTCTTTAGTGCTCCCGATTCAAGCACTATAAACCAATCCTGAATTCGAGATATTTAGATATGGTAAACTAGACAGGAAGGAAATCGTAAAACCATCTAGAAAAAAATAACTTTAAGGATACGGCAGCAAAAGCAAGCAAACTTCATCATGAGCTTTAGCGTATAAAATACTAAACATATGAGATGTGTTCACCCTACTTCGTTCAAGGTGATCAAGAACTATCGGTTGAATTTTCCCATTTAGTCTTGTCTCTCTAAAGATATTATGATCCAGAGTGGACTGCTGTGTCGACCTCGCCTAGATCTCATCAACATCCCTAACGGTATTCGAACCATGACAGTACACCGTATAATCTTGATACGTTGACCACTAAGCCAGATTGTCATGAGTGCCATCTCGTGGTTC